TAAGGCCATATAAGTGCCGAAGATTAGAGGTGTTACAAGGGAGTAACAAACACAAAAAAAGAAGAAGAGGAGATAGAGACGATAGATGTTTGGTAGGAAAGAAGAAGCAAACAACACCAGAGCCCCCGCCAACCACCCAAGGTCCAAGTTTACGTTTACTTTAAGAATAACCAAATAAATAAAAAATAAGCGCTCACAGCCGACCTCCAAGAGGAGATAATAAAACTGTTCAAACGTCCCCGGGTAGTTCATCAGTCCCGAGTTGTTGGCCCTGTGAGAAAAGTAGGACACAAGGACATCCTTCGGGTTCCGGTTGAGGTAGACGATTTTGATCTTCTTCTCAAAGGCTTGCTTTGGTAGGTACCTAAAATGGAAAAAAGGAAATTATGAATTATGAGGCATCGTGGTGAAATCGGGCGCTCGTCAAATTAGAATCTAATGAAACGGAAGAAAGTGTCATTTTTCCGCCGATTTGGCAATTTTTATCGAAAAGTTGTTTTTTGGCTCAACACATTTTATGTCCATTCAAGAACTCATTTTTGTGTGGGTTTTACTGAAAAACGTCAATTAAAGGCATAAAAATATAAATTGTCAGTTTCCATGGACTCTCAGGCTATGTAAAATTAAATAGCCCAATTTTAGCGGCCATTTTCTGGCTAATTCTACCTCTGAAACCAAGAGACCCCCACCTCCTTCAACTGCAAATATTTCAACTGATATTCAAGATAAATGGATAATTCGTTCATCAAAAGCAAGGCAAATGTACACGCTTTAAGATGGTACCAATAACTCCACATGCCCAAAAATTGACGAACGCCTGATTCCTCCACGTCGTAACACAAGTTTTTCTTGTTTGCTTTCATTTCGAGCATTAGAATTAGAATTTCGAATACATTTGTACATGTTTCCAGAACACATGCAACTGAAAAAATCGGTTAAGAACCTGCAATCCTGCAATACAAACATTGTTTTTGATGTTGGGGTCAGTGCATACACATACGCGCGCACACAAACACACACACACACATGCACACACACACACACACACACACACACAC